AACATTACTGTTCCCAGCATGGTCAAATTTGCACTGACTATGCATAGTGAAAACCAGGCTTCAGAGGCCACGGATACGGCAACATTACTGTTCCCAGCATGGTCAAATTTGCACTGACTATGCATAAGGTGCGTAAACAAAAAGTTGCGTAGTTACCACAATCTTGAGATCTTTATAACTAATTGCAGCCATGGCAACCATAGGTTGTTCTGGTGCAGGGTGAACTGCAACCTTAAATTGTTGTTGATCGAAGTCGATTCTTTTCTCGCCAGGAGAGTATCCGTTGTCATCCGGGAGCTTGAATAACAACTCTTCAAACCTGGATATTAACAATATAAAACTATTTTAGTTAAGGAAAGATAAAGCTACAAACTATACTATGGAGTTTTTACGCGACAATCAGATTTTTCGCCTCGACACTCTAAACCACACCACACCACATCTCACCACGCCACGCCACACCACAAAACATCATGCACGACATACAACACTTCAACACTTTAAACCACGCCACTCTATCACCCCATGCACGACATATACCACGACACAACACTTTAATTCCTACCCTACCCTATCCTACCATATGATCATACCACGACCATAGTGTACCATACCATACCATACCTTACCCTACCCAACCCTATACCAAACCTCGCCCTATCAGATCAACCACAACTCACAACATACTATGAATTCCCATACCTAGAATGATCTTCCTCTGGTGGCGTACTGTCTACAACCTCAGGAGTCTGCTTATGTATATCACTTTGACTACGTGAACCAGGAGTCTTACTACCACTAGCAGCCCGACTAGTTACACCACCTTTAGCATCCTTCGCCTTAACATCAACTTTCTTTCCTCCTGTTTTAGGAGTATCTGGATTTTCAACCGGTGTATCAGGAGGAGATGGTGGTGGTGGAGGGGGTTTATATGTGCCTGTTTTAAGAGCCACACCCATAAACACCACACTACAACAAGGAGCTTCAGCTGAAAGGCAAGCAAAATGTATGCGTTACCTGGAAACATAAAACGGCTTTTTTCCTGCGCCATCTTAAAAGTTAACCATACCTTTGTATCAAAGCGAGACAAACGGTAACCTTGCAATGATAGAGTCGTGAATAATTGTCCAAGGTGTTAAAAAMGGTCTCTATCATTGCAAGATCACGGTTCGTCTTGCTTCGATGCAAAGGCACGGCTACCTTTCAAAATGACGCGGGAAACTGTGAAGGGGACTATTGAGAAACTAGACCTCCGCAGTTGGGAAGCACCGTCTACACTACTTTTTTTTCTGTTAAAAACAATTTCTAGTTGATGTCTCATTTCACTACATGTTCAAAGGATCAATGTGTGTAATCAAAGATACGATGGCTAAAACAATGATACTCACCTTTCTTACAGACGGGCCTAAAAACGCGAACATGAAGATACCTGGACGGTTGCAAATAATGGATCAGTACAATTCCTAAATCATTTTATAAAATAACTGTTATAAATGTYGCGTTCTTATTGGTTGGGAGCACGTGCTTTATGAGAGCACACAGTACGCGCGCGAACTTTCAGTTGCGTCATTCCTATCCAAAAAAAAAAAAACGGTTTTTGTAATTCATATTTGACAAAAGGAAAAAAACCCTGCTTGCTTTGCTGTGAGGAGTCATAAAGCACTTTGGGATTGTCAGAACACTCTAGAAGTGTCGAGAAGCACGACGCGTAGTAACACTTCTCTCGTGTTCTGCCAAACCCTATATAGATAGATAGATAGATAGATAGATAGATAGATAGATA